AAGAATAAAGAAACAATATAGACAAATATCAGAGAAAATTCGAATTAAGTGTAAAAACGGCTAAATTTTCTGAGTTAAACTAATAATGTTAGCATTTTGTTATATTTTTTATAGTTTTATTACTCTCAGTAAGATAATCACTCATTACTTCTCCATTTTTAACGAGTTTAAGAGAAAATTAGAAAAATTGGATGTCCGCCATTTTGAATCGCCATTTTGACCTCTTTAACGCCATTTTCATGAAGGCCAGCATATTTTTTCGGATTCAGCATACTCGAATTTAGGTTACAAAACTATGCTGGACCAAATAATAATTATTTGCCGTTAGAAGTATTTTTTTCTATAAATCAGACCAGACTATTTAAGGAATTTATCTATTTTTATCTACTTTGTCTATCCCCAAGAGATTTTTTGTTTTGGTGTCATATCTCTCAATTTTGGAGTATCTGAACTTTAAACATTCTCTTTCATTGATACAATCTTAATAATCGATTTTATAAAAGTTATTTAGTCTATATGCTAGTTTATTAATAATTTCATATAAATTTACTTTACCAAATAATTAAAAGTTAATTTAAATAAATACAATTTAAATAAACTCAAAAATCATTAAGGCATAATCTCAACCCAAAATTAATACACAAGTAGTATGACTTTGCTTCTTGACAATAAGTCCTCGGATTTACTGGACAGATGTGATTAATATAAGGAGCTTCTTACGATTGTGTTGCTGTCAACAGCAGTAACTAGAAGAACTTGCTGTCCGACCACATAGTTTTCACTGATTGTTCTAATAAACGGAGCATTGTTGAACACTGGGGCGTTTTTATCTTCACTGATGCTGATGGTAACAGTTGTATTAGAACACTTGTATGGTACACCATCGTCACAAGCTTGAACTGTCAACTAAAGAGAAAATACACGTACTGTAAATAATTTTAAATTCGTGAGAATTTATTTCGCGTAATTACTCTGTACGGTCTCCTCGCAGAAGTTTCATTCTCGTGGATAATTTTGTTATCATAGGATTTTACAGCTGCTGACAACAACATCTATGGTTTTCATGTTAAACGAAACAAAAATAAATATATTTTAGATTGATCACTGTCGATATCAATCCTTTTCATATTAATTTATTTTCAAATTAAGTGAAAAGTGAATCTGATCTCATCATTGAGCCTACAGTTTAAATAGTATGGTTACATGCAGATTAATTTAACTGATAGGATCAGCAATATTTACTTTTTAGGTCCATAATTCAAATGTTCATATCATGAATTAAGCGAGTATTTCTTTTCAAAAAGGGTCTCGATAATTAAATTTCATATGTAATGATTTACAATTTATGTACATACAATAAATCTGGTAAATAAAGTGTTCATGAGATTCTTCTTCAGGTAAATCATGCCCGTGTCTGTGTCAATGTAGAAGTTATGAGATGCTCCAATGCTGAGTGATTTCTCATCAATTTCATTCACAATATCATATCTGAGTTTGTCCTAGAAGAAAGCAACAAAAATATATCCAGGTTAAAGGATATATCATACAAACAAGAAAATTAATGTCTGGATTGGAATATATTTTTTACCTATTTTGGTTGTACATGATTAGAACAAAAAAATCAAAATATTAAGAAATTGTAAACTTTCTATGATATGTTCGAAATTCCATTTTTTGCAACCACCCTTATATTAATCTAAACAAATTTTTGTCACTTTAAATCCAATAACTGAGAATTTTTCATAGAAAAATGAAAATCTATGTAGTTAATCTTATTTATTTTACTTATATAAATATGACTTAAGTTGAAATTTTCAATATTTTTGATAACAATTTGTTTGTATCCTTAAGCTCAGAAAATGATACTAGTATATCAGATAAAGAAGCTGAAATTCACTTTCGTATGGAAACACAAACAGGCCAGGGTGAATCTTTAACAATATGTCATGCCTTCTTTGATTTGATACTGCATTTAACAAAACTCCCCAGAAAAAAAATTAAAGAAATTTTATTTTGCTATCATAATGCCCACCTCTTGATCTTGATCTGTGGCAGTTACTTGAACAATGCTTGAGAATGGTGGATGGTCTTCTCTGATAGTGGCTGCATACGCAGGCAGTGCCCAGGTGGGGGTGCTGGGGTTCCTGATCACTAGAATAGTTACAGTGGCAGAGGCCCTCCTATTAGGACGGAAGGAATCATATGCTTCTACCGTTAGCTGAAATTAAAAAATCAATGTTCTTCAATGCATTTATTGTAAAACTGGAAGTATTTACTTTAATCATTCTATGCTCGAGAAAACACAATGAACAAAAAACACAAGAGATATTTTTTAATACTCTCACTTTATATTTTGACTCAGATCTGACAGCTTCAAACTGTAGGTCCTTGGCAATAGTAACCACACCGTTTGTTGGATGAACTGAAAACAGACTGGGAGCAGGGTAGACACCTGTCACTTCATAAGTAACAACTCCCTGTAAGTAAATAATTGTCATAAAAATATAATTTTTATTGGAGTCGTGAGGTAAGGAGTGCAGCATGAATCCTCTGCAGCTTCGTCATTAACCTAAGAAGATTTTCTTATGTATTTTCACTTACAAAAGTTTAAACCTTTATATCATCAAACTGTCATAAAAATACGAACCACCCGATCAGCATCAGTTGCAGAAAGTGCAGCGACTGATGTCCTAATGGCAGTATTCTCTGATAAAGTGACAGTTTGGTTCCCAACAGAGAACTGAGGTGAGGAGCGGTCTCGATACACTGAAATGATCACTTGAACTGCAGTTTTCTTTTCAGGGTTACTGTTGTCATATGCGGAAACCGTTGCCTGAAGAACGATATAAATATTAAATTTAATGCTGAATTGTCTTTACTTCTTAAAATAGATTGAAAATACCAACCTCTTGCGACTTATTTTCCAAGATATAAAATAGCTTCTGGTGTAAAATTCATTACAGATATACTGGTAAAATAAACATTTTTTGCTTACTTTAAAAGCTTTATTTACATATCATTTGCTTACGTTTACGTGATTTTTGAGGATATTAAAGTTTGTTCATCTTACTTTGTAAATCGACTGTGTATCAGTGGTTAAGTCAGCCTGTACGGTGATGATACCAGTGTTAGGATTCAAGGAGAAAAGCCGAGTGAACGGAACTGGATTAGCTCCATCATATCCATACGTTATTCTGTCCTGTGTGCAGAAACAAAATTAAAAAAAATCACTATGAGAGCACTTAAGTGATCAAGAAATGCAGGAATCATTTGTATATCCTTCTCCAAATGTACTAAATTGATTTCATCTAATACTTTACCTCAGTGTCTTTGTCTGTAGCTTTGAGCTGTAAAACTATCACATTAATGGCAATGTTTTCACTGATGTTGGCAGTGTACTGGAATTTGTCAAACTGTGGTGCATTTTCATTGCGGATAATTTTGATTGTCACATTTGTCGTAACTCTGTCTGTAGGAAAGGCAACATCATAAGCCTGAACTTGAAGCTGTAAAAATGCTTTTGATCTTGAGTAAATAACTCACAACAAAAAAATGTATTAATAATTAAGATTTAGAATATTTTAATTAACCTACATTTATTTAACATGTTTAACATACAGATATATTGAAGGTACTCATTAGAAACTGACAATATAGTCGAAGATGTTCTTTTCAAATCTAAGGTTGTTCTGAACATATATGGACCCATTAACTTTTGATAGATGGAAAAAGCATGTTGCTGAGCCAAATCCGGTTGCTTCATATCTAAGGGAACTTGAAGACTAAAATAAAGAATATGAAAAAATGAGATTAAGATTGAATGAAACAATTCATTCTTTACAAAAAAGCAACGTTTCACAATAATAATGAAATTATTTCAATAATCGATTTCCCACCATCTGATTCTATTGAATAAACAAACAAGATGTGTTTGTGAAACACTTATGCCCCCTGTGTGGCAGCTTAGTGCGAGGGTTGAATTCTCTCAAGAGCATGTCAAACTCCAAAGGGCAAGGTCAAGGTTCAAAAAGTGTTGGTATTCAAAGGAAGTTCTTGTTGTATGGAATACACCTGTGATATATGAAAGCCTAATTCTAACTACTCAATAGTTATGACCAAGGTTAAAGTTTTTAAAAAGTGGGTTAAACTTTTAGGTCAAGATCAAAAAGTCAAAAATATTTATACCAGTTGATAGGTTTTGTCACAATAAATACACAGGTGAAGTATGAAAGCCCTAGCTCTAACTGTTCAAAAGTTATTACCGAGATTAAAGTGTGGTATTTCTTTGTAAAAGCAGGTCAAACTCCAAGGTCAAGAGGTCAATTTGGTGGTAGCCACCAGTTACGGACTAGGTTAAAGTTGACAAGAGATAGACAAGCAGATAGACAGGATAAAAACTATATATATATATATATATATATATATATATATATATATATATATATATATATATATATATATATATATATTTATTTATTTATTTATTTATTTATTTATTTATATATACACCCTGGATCTTTCGATCCGGGAGCATAAAAATAGCAATCAACTAAGCAAATTGTCATGTAAACATACCCCAGGTGAGGCTATTAGTGTAGTTACCGATGTACCAACTGGAGTCTTCTCACTAATAGTAACATTGTAACTATTGGCTGAGAAAGTAAGCATTCCACTGTCTTTCAGTTCATCAATATGCTCTGCAGCAGACGCAACCTCTCGTGGCTTTCTTATTTGATCTCTGGCTTTAACTTTCAGCTTCAGCCCAACAGAAAGAAATTGACAAGCTATGAATTAAGAGATACATGTATATAAATACTATTTATAAAATATAAATAGTATTTTCAAATCATGATAAATGCTATGATTTCAATTTTTTGATCGACAACATCCTTACATTAAATAGCAATATACCCTTATCACCTGTATATGGATCGTTTCGAATATGTGTTTTCTCCAAATAAAAGTATAGACAAACCTCATCGACTGAAGCAGAATAAGGAGCATTTCCAAATATGGGTGCGTTATCATTTATATCTCGAATCTCCAGCTGCATCAGGAAAAACTTCGTTTGTGTTGGGTCTTTCTGAAATTAATAGTGTAAAAATTAGGAAATATGTTTTTTTTTATATTTAGCTAGGAGGCCTACATTTTTTCTTAAATATATAAACTAATATTCAGCCATTCTAGTCTTCTAAAGAACTGAATGGACAAGCTTTAACATCAAATGACGAGCGTTTTTGTTTGGCAAATGGAGTCTGAGATGAGAGGAGAAGTTGTCAATGAGATAACATATTACCTGCAAGAACTTGGAATTACACAGGGCAATATTCAAGCCTAATCACTAAATACTCGTATAATCAAGTTATAAGTAACATATAAAGTAAGAATTTAAAACAAGATATACACATATGAAAAAAATAATTTCAATAAATATAAATTATCTAGACATAAAAAGGCTAAAACTTAAGCAGAAAACCATCATCCTTATGTTACAACTAATGAAATAATTTATTGCTTGATGAAATAATTCAATATTAAGTTTGAAACTTTTTTAAACACATAAATGGCAATTATCCCTTCTTCTGCATTATACATAAAAAATCCATTTTATCTACACCCTAAAAAATTTGCTATCATTTTTAATAAACATGCACAAAAGTTTTGAATATGCATGCAAGTTTAACAAACAATTATACAATTATTGCATCATTGCATACAGTGTACATGCAGATCCTTAAATTTATTTCTAAGGATGTTCATATTTCGATGGCAATTTTTATGGTCAGATCTGTAAAGTACTTACCAGTGTCCGACAAGATAATTGAAATTCCATGGAAAAGAGGTCATCACTTTGGATAAAGGAACTCCCCTTCATTGTGAGAAAAAGCGAAAAATATCAATTACTAGTAATTAGATACAACTGAAAGTCTTAACAGATATTAGCCTTTTATGTCGGAGGAGTAAAAAATCTTTTCTTTTGGTGGTTTATTATTTCATTAAAATCTATTAAGAAGTCTCATCTTAAAGATAAGTACATATACTTGATTATGATTGAAAATTTCATTCCAAAGAATCTTACATCCCTATTAAGTGCCGATTTCAACCGGATAAAAGTCCTACTTCCAAAGGGTGAATCTGATACTGGTAAAGTTATCAATTCAAACAGATTATTCAAATTCAGATCATTAGGAGTGGCTTGTGATCGGACAAATGTTATGTTGACTCCTGATGCTGTTTGAGTTCCCTGATATACTCCTTCTATCGTTGTGTCTGTTCTATAGAGTGGCGAGTTTGGGTTAAAAACAGCAACTGTGGTGGATTTAAAAACTCTTCCAGCAATATTAGAATTTGGTGCACTACATGCTGCAAATAAACTCATAATTTTGGAATACTAAGATACTACATTTAAGATTTTTATAGATTATCGAAAATATGTGTTTAGTTAGATATTGAATAGAATCATGAGTAAACATCTTACGTTCTTGTGAATCCACTGTATATATGTTAACAGTCAGCAAAAAAGTTGTAAATCGAAAACATAAATCATAGCGACTCCACATCTGGACTTTTTAGAAGTAAAACGCCCTTTTCTAAACGAAAAGAAGCAAAATACGAATACTATTTTCTATTTTAAAAATCCTTGATCATTACCCCGAGAAATGCGTATGAGTTTTCTTTCACGATAAATGCAGTATACGTTCGGAAAAGAATCGCACGGTCCAGAGACTTTAAATTAATGCAAACAATATCTAAACAGAAGAAAAATAACCCATTATAAATTATAAACATCTATCATCTAGTACCTTTATTTTTATAATTTTGATAGCTACTAGTAATTACATGAATATAAAATTATAAACATCATAAAACAAGAACTTACCTTTAATTATACAGTACGACAGAACACTGAAGAAATGGAATTTACTTCCTCGTTTTATCCAGGCCATAATTAAGGAGCATACGGCGTGACTTTAGGCATTTTTCCCTAGGTTTAAATCTATCGATGCAGACCGAGGTGAAAGAGTCTATAATTGGTTTATTATATAGACCAGATTTGAATAAATAAGTCATTGAACGCTTCATGACGACACCATTTTCATTTGACATTCCGTCATTAGTTTAAATCAAAGTACTCAGAAGTACAGAGAGCCGGTGTAAAGACGAATAATGACCCCCATCGAATAACGACCGGGGGTAATTTTTCGACAGCGAAAAATGACCCCCGGTCATTATTCGACGTAGAAAAATGACCCTTTTGCCCGTAGAAAAAGTGTCACTTCCCTAAAAATTTGCAGAACCCACGTGAAGAAAAATGACCCCCGTAGAAAAATGACCCCCTGTAGATTAAAGCTAAAATTTTTAGGGGGCAAAAAAAAAATGGATAAAGAAGCATATTGGCCAAAATGCTTACCTTAGCTTATTGGGAATAAACTGATGATATGTTGATCTCATAACATTATACAATTATAGCTATATTTTAAGGTAAATCTAATGATTCAGAATCTAAAGGAGTAAAAGATTTATCAAGCCTTAAGGGTTAGGTAAACATTGTTTTTTTGATGGTGGAAATCATCGAACTGAAAAAATCAGCAGTATTATATATTATTATATCCTCCGCTTGAAAAGCCGGAGGGTATATAGTGATTGGGATGTCTGTCCGACCGTCTGTTACGCTTTGAGGTATCCATCTCTTATCCACAAATCCTCATATATAAAAAGATGTGTTTGTGAAACAGTTATGCCCCTGTATGGCAACATAGCGAAGATTAAACTTTTCTTAAATGCAATTTAAATATATTGTTACCCAAAGTAGGGTCTTCTCACATGAAATACAACTGCAAAATAGGAAAGCCCTAGCACCACTTGTTCAAAAGTAATGGCTAAGGATAAGTTTTTGAAAGGTAGGTCAAACTCAAAGGTCAAAGTTGATGATTTCTTAAGAAAATGTTTAATGTAACAAGGATTACATATGTGAAGCATGAATACCCTAGCCCTTACCGTTCAAAAGTTATGGCCAAGGTAAAAAAAAAATCATAATTACGGAAAACTCCAAGGTCAAAGTCAAAAGGTCAAGGTTTTTAGTATCCAATGAAAGGTAATGCCAACAAACTACATATTTAAAGTATGAGAGTACTAGTATCTACGGTTTAAAAGTTATGGCCAAAGTAAAAAATTGGCATTTTTGTGTAAAATGGGATAAACTCCAAGGTAAAGGTCAAAAGGTCAAATTTGGTGGTACCCAAAGTAAGGTCTTGTCACAAGGAATAGACATATTAAATATGAAAGTCATAGCTCCAATAAATGAAAAGTTATGGTCAAGGTTAAGGTTTTTGCGGACAAACAAACCGCCAGATAGACAGACGGACATACAGACCAACACGATAAAACTATATATCCCCGAATCTTCGACTACGGGGACATAAAAAGAAATGGTCTTCAATTAACTTTTCATATTAATATACATTATAAAGAAGACGTTACAACAATGAAAATGTTTGTTCTGATTTTCATATTAAATTCTCTGAAAAATATACTCAGAACTGAGTAAAAGGGTGGAGTAAAACAAGAATTAAGGAAGAACCTATGTCGGAAAAGTCTTTGTCACAAGATTTTCAAACTTTTCAAAATAAAAAAAAATGTACTTGCTTATCAATCAGTTAAGATATCATGATATGTTTCCTTGTTTTTTTTATCTAGAACAGGCTGTGAAACTTCGTAGGGTATTTACATACTGCGACTTCACATTTTCAAATATTTTTAGGGGTACTTGTCATAAAGGGAATATGAAAAATCACAAAAATACTTCTTCAAACATCGTCGTTTATAAACCTTTTAACTGAAAAATATTAAACAATATTTTATCAAGAATAATTTCTTTTTCATTCAATTAATATAAAAGATAAGTCCACCATTAAAAAAATAGTCAAATGTACTCTATTATTTTTAGTCAATTATTCACCCTATATTTGTAAATATTTTTTAGACGTCTTTGTCACAATGTTTTCAATCTTCAATATTATGAAGAACATAGCCAAATGATTACAAAAAAATGCTTAAAATATATACCTTTCCCCTCTAACTAATGAAAGATAGTCTTTTTACCGATACTCATATTCTTGGCCTCTTTCCACTTACACGGGATTTAATAATTAAATGACTGTTTGGGGTTACTTTCAGATTAAATATTTATCAGAAATTGTATTTTTTCTTTAAAAAGATCATATTTAATAGAAAAATTGTAATCAAACACCAAAAATATGAATAGGTAACAAATAATTGTTAAAAGGAATGCACATCATTTCATTATAGATATCACAAAAATGTACACAGGATCAAACGATCTACAACACGTACATCTTTGACTTAGACACATTTCATCAAGATATTACACTATATAGCTGGCAACTAAAGATTTCTTACGATTTATGCATTCCTTCAAAATGGTTACATACCATTCAAATTATTACGAAAGTTGTATGTACATTGTAATTTCATTACACTAGATAGTCTTGGGTTTGTCAACTTCAGGTCTAGATCTAGTAAATAAAAGGTGCCTACATATTTTCCCTTATTCCAGAAATATATTGCCATTAAGCATTATAAACCAAAAAATATATGAATTGAATCAAGATTATGTTGGCATGATTGAATCCTGTGAATTTGAAAATGCAGTATTTTCTACCATTTTTATTGAAGCTGTCAAGTACGGGAAAAAGTGGCATTGAATTAATTATGACGTCTCAATGGGTTAGCACAGGTTTAACACATTTACAAGTTATGATGTCATACGTAGGTTCTACGTTAAAAGAAATGTAATGAATACTGTGTGCTAAATCAAAAGTTTTTGTCTACATGTATAGTTTTTGCATTAGAATGACTGTGTATTCTACGCTAGCCAATAGCTTTACAGAGCATATTTTAGGTCTTATACTTACCCCACCCCCTTTCTTATTTAGGAGGAAGTCGATATTGAACAAAAGCAAAAAAAAAAAAACTCTACCTTTATTTTTCTATTAGAAAGGAATTAAAAATAAGCTAAAAATAATCTACTATTCTACTAATTTTTAACTGTTACTTTGCCACAATACTTTCAAGTATACCTCCACCAACATTTAAAGTATGCTTTAATCATGGCGAAGTAAATTATGATATGATAGTACTTGTGTGAAGGCTTAACTTCATTTCAATATTTTATTTAGAGTCTCTTTCAGAATTATTGAAAGGTATAGAGTTTTATTAATATTTCTGGTTTTCATTTATTATTATTATTTTTTTTTTTTGATTTAACGTAATGTTCTTTTTTTTTGGAGGGGGGATAAAAATTTCTTCCTCTTTCATTGTCAAATAGGATTTTCCAAACTTAAACAAACTAAAAGTTGAAATGACGGAGAATTTAATTTTTCCTATTAAAGAGTATTTAAACCTGATTTTTGCATGGTTTGATTTCTAAAAACAAATGGAATATCCTTCTTTAAGCAAACATTATAAGGAGGAATATTAAAAAGAAATTTTATTGACTTGACAATTAAAGAATCTCTTTTCAAACACAATTTTAGCATTGAAAGACTACGTGAATCTCTTAATTATTTCATACGACCTTTTGTATTTTTCTGGTTACAGAAAATGTAAAAATTAGTTTCGCTGTAAAAAAGATATCAAAGAGTGTATATTTTGTATCACTTTAAAGGGGGTCATTTTTCAATGGGGGTCATTATTTTATAGGACTAACATATAAAATAATGACCCCCTAGGACCTTTTTTCTACAAAAAATGATTTTTTTCTACGGGTGGGGGTCATTTTTTGTCGTTGAAAAATGACCCCCCGGTCATTATTCGATGGGGGTCATTATTCGTCTTTACATCGGGCTCATTTACAGAGCAGAATCATTATGAATTTCTTGCATGAATCATACGTTTATATTGTATTAACAGATAAAAAAAGGAATATCAGATTTAAAATTCTGATGAAAAAATCATTTTAAATCTATCAATATAAATGATAAGACACTGACAGTGAGTTTCTATCCTAATACCACGGTCCGATTTTGTCAGAATCAGAATTAATCTGGTAACTTTAAAATGGCGACTATGGGGTTAACATCCTGTCGATCTTGAACAGGATCACATAAGCCGGCGATTGCTTTTTGAACAAAGTCTAGATTTGTAACCTCTGTGTTTGGCTTTGTGTAAGACATCCAAATGTC